TCTAGGAATGAGCTGATCCTGAGAGGGACAGTGGAGGCCTCCTCAGCAGGTCTCAGATGTCAAAGCATCATTAATACAGAAAATAAAAAGGCACAATACAGTCTCTTGCATGCTTAGATTAACATGATCTTCTAATTGTTCTACCTGTGTCCATATTTGCTTTCCCACAATCTAGCTTTGATGCAGCAGCCAGAGAAATCTTAAAAGTATAAATTAGGTCATGTTATTGCTCTGCTTAAAATTCTTCTCAGATCTTCTTTTACATATCCAATAAAGCCCAATTTCCTTACCTTTAAATTTTTTATCTCTCAATACTCACAACTCTCCTGGTATATTCCATAACTGGAAGTATTGGAATAGTCTATATCCTCATTTCACAGATGAATAATCTGAAGATCACTCAGGGGATGAGGCTGCCAGCCTACCCAGTTTAATATACTGCCTCTTGTGGCTAGAATGAGAGTGCCCTTTCCTCTTCCCCTGGTTTGCAGTAGCTGTTATCATCCTTTTGAATGTTTTCCAGTCTAATGGCTATAAAAAGATCTAATTGCTTTAATTTGCATGTCCTTTACACTGTTCAGTTTGAGCGTTTTTGTTTTTGTTTAAAGATTTCATCTATTTGTTAGAGAGCACAAGTAGGGGTAGCAGCAGGGAGAGGGAGAAGCAGACTCCCCACCGAGCAAGGAGCCCGATGCAGGGCTCAATCCCAGAACCCCGGGATCATGACCTGAGCCAAAGACAGACGCTTAACCGACTGAGCCACCCAGGCGTCCCTTGAGCGTCTTTTAATATGTTGGCCATGTGTAATTGCTCTTCTTTTAATCACCCATGCATATCCTTTGATCATTTTTCTCTTTGGTTGTCCATTTACCCATTCTCATGTCTTTATTTTGTTTGGTCAGCTTATGGAAACTCTTAGAATATAATAGATGTTAATTTTTTTTAAATCTATAATCTGCTTTGGAAATTTTTTCCAAAATCTATCAAATATATTTCACTTACGTATCTCATTGACATATCAGTGTTTTAATTTTTTCTAAGGTCTGTTTTTTTTCCCTGCTTTGGTTTTCTTTAGGATTTTTACTTTTTTTGCATCTTGCATTTGTCTTTAATCCATCTGGAATTTGTTTTTAGCATATACTGTGAGCTAAGGACCCAGTTTTATTTTCTTCCAGTTTTTTAGCTAGTTTTGTCATCACCAATTAAATCATTTCTCCTATTGAAGGTGATATTTGGTATTTCAATTCATAATAGGTTTAAGATTTATGTTTATTGGATCTATTTTTGGATTTCCTATTTATTCCACTCATTTTTTACTCATTTTTCTGTACCAAATTGATTTGATGCAATAGCTTTATAGAATGTTCTAAAATGGTAATGTAAGTCCCATCTATATTTTTTCTTAGCAGTTTTATTCTTTATTTACCCATATTATTCATCCTTATTATATTCAAATTAAAAAAACTTTCTGGTTGGGGGTTTGGCCAAAATGGGTAAAGGGGAGTGAGAGATAAAGGCTTCCAGTTACGAAATGAATAAGTCATGGGAATAAAAGGCACAGCATTAGGAATACAGTCAATGATACTGTAATAGCGGTGTATGGGGCCAGATGGGAGCTATACTTGTGGTGAGCATAGCATAATGTATAAACTTGTCAAATCACTATGCTGTACACTTAGACCAATGTAACGTTGTATGTCAACTATACTAAAACAAAAACAAAACAAACACCTCTTAGGATTTTCATGGTTGTCTTGATGGGACAGGATTTTGAGTGACAGACTCCAGTAGGCAACTTTAAAGATTTTAGGCTCTTTGAAGGAGAAATGGAGAAACTGACAGAAATCATAAATAGCAAGAGAGAACATAGCATGATCTTAGATATGTGGCTTCCCATGTCCCCCAGTTTCCCACAAGAATATAAGCTGTAAATAATAGTGCCCACAGGATGTAAAAATTTGGCCATTCTTGAGAAGCCCCCTTTGCTATTCTCAGGAGGATTTCATACCCTCTTGAACTCTTCCTCTTTGTAGTGGAGATTCTGGCTTCCTCCCTGCTCACTAGGTGTAAGTAACTGATGTAAAAGGTCCATCGATACGTTATCTAGTGATTTCTGTGAAGTTAGGTAAAGTAAAACTCACTTTCCCAGCAAGTTTGGACTATTAGCAAGTCCTGACTGAAATCATTCCTGAAGGATTCACTTTGGATTCGCACTGTATGATACAAAACATTGTCTTCCTGTCTAAGATTCCTAGAAGTCTTTTCATTTATTTAGCTCCTGTTTTGTCTTTAACATTTTATGTTTTTCTTCATTTAAATTTTATTCCTTATTTTCATCCCTAATTATCTCATGGGTTTTGTTTCTGTTGTGAACAGAATATTTCCACCTATCTCTATATCCAGGTACTTACTGCTAATATAGAGAAAGGTGTTTTCTGTTTGTTCATCTTATTCAGTCACATCACCAAATTGATTTTTTTTTTTTTCTTTGCCTTCATTTCCTAGGTAAATAATCACACCCATTAACAAATAAAGATAGTTTTAATTTTAATTTTTTAATAATTATACTACCTAATTCATTTTTTTGTACTGTATTATCTAGAATCTTCATTGTAATGTTTTATAATGCAATAATAGGCATGTGCTTACATTTTTAATTTTTAAAATATATAACTACCTCCTTTTCTTTCAGAGTCTAAAGTTACTTATATTGTATCCTCTTGAATAAGACGAGTTTAACATGCTTTCTCCAGTTGAGTATGTCTCATACATCTTTGTTCACACATGCTTTTTAAGTCAGTAGCTGTTCAAATTTACCAACATAGTTTTTGAATTTCTCCTTCCTTAGGACTCACTTTTATTTTGGCTAAGTTCATTCATTAAGAGTCTTCACTGGTGGGCGCCTGGGTGGCTCAGATGGTTAAGCATCTGCCTTCGGCTCAGGTCATGATCCCAGCGTCCTGGGATCGAGTCCCGCATCGGGCTCCCTGCTCCTTGGGAGCCTGCTTCTCCCTCTGCCTCTCTCTCTGTCTCTCATGAATAAACAAATAAAAACTTAAAAAAAAAAAAAAAAAAGTCTTCACTGGTAAACTTTCAGCCTTCTGAAAATGCCCTTATTTTGCCCTCACTTGAACTGGATTGTCCATTAGACTCTCTCAACTCTCTTAATACACTATTCATTGGCCCCTGTTTATTCCTGAGGAAACATCTGTTAGTCTTGTTGCTTTATGGGTAATCCGTCTTTTTTGGTAGTTAAGAGTTTATCTATGATACCAATTTCAATACAATGTTTCTACATATGGATTTGTTTTGATTGCTTAGGTTGGCCCTGGAAGTACATTTTTAATTTGACTTATTTTTTTTACTTTTGGAAAATTAGTCATTATTTCTGATATTGCTTCCTTCTCTTGTTAGACATTTTTGGGATTTATAATTTCTATCTTGGTCTATTTGTGCTGCATTCTAGAGGACTTTCTCAAATACATCTTCCAATCAGTTAAACCTTTTTACTGAATATTATTGAAATTTCTCCTGTTTGAATTTATTTCAGAAACTATATTTAAAAATTTTTAAATTTCTCATTGGATCTTCATAGCTTGCCTTGTTTCATTTCTGCCTATTTTTGATTCGCACCTTCTTTTTCCTTTTTTTTATGGATATGTCCATAAAAGTATCTTTTTCAAGTTCAGTTAGTTCATCTGCCCATAGTAAGTTAACCTTTGTTTTGAATTTCCATTTATAGATTCCACATGTCTGTCTTAAGTAGGAGGTTCTTACTATATTGCTCACTGTGGTCACTCATCTCTCCCTCTCTGGCAATTTTGCATTTTCTTCCACTGGCCCATTTACTCAGGATTTCCATTACAATCCAGGTTTGAGATTGGCAGTTTGTGCTTTTGCTCTACAGAGTTTCAGATTATTGTGGATCCACTTACTGAGTTGGAAGACTTGGCTTTGCTCACTGTCAAGAGGTTCTATCTGTGCTTCTCTGCCTTCCTGAATATTATTTCTTGTAAGCAGTAGCTTAAGTCAGCATTCAGCAGTACCTTCTTCAGCGTCCTTTCCTGCAGCACAAGCCCCATTCTAGCTTCTGCTTCCAGGCAGTGCGCCCGATCCCGGTACTTCATCTCCATGTGGTACTATTGTTTCCCACTAACCCACAGCTGAACTCTTGACTGCTACTTCCTCTTCTCAGACTTTGAAAGTCTGTGGCTCAGTCTCCCTACCTGTCACTTGTTTGTGTTTGTTTCATTTTTGATCCTCAAGGGTGCTTGTTGTTTGTTTGTTTGTTTTTGGTGAGGCTATAGCTTTTAAATTTTTTCTTAAAGTTTTTTTTTTTTTTAAAGATTTTATTTATTTGACAGAACACAAGCAGGGGGAGTAGCAGGCAGAGGGAAAGGAAGAAGCAGGCTCCCTGCTGAGCAGGGAGCCCGATGTGGGGCTGGAGCCCAATGTGGGGCTCAATCCCAGGACCCTGGGATCATGACCTCAGTTGAAGGCAGATGCTTGACTGACTGAGCCACCTAGGTGTCCCAAAAAAATAAACTCTAAAAAAAAAAAAAAAAGGCTCCTTCCTTCTCCTAATTCTTGAACATCAAATCCCGGGAAAGGACTTTGATTGGCCTAATTTTATGTCACATGCTTGTCTTTGCACAGACCACCCTAGCCTAGAGCCTTAGGTCCTATGCGTATGCATTTAGGTGGATTCTTGGGTACTGTGATTGGTATTCCCACTAAAAGATCCATCGTTAGAGGGTAATCCTCTAACTAGGAGAAGAGAGGAAGACAGGTCACCAAACAAAAACAGATGCTCTCTATTTTATATATATATATATGTGTGTGTGTGTGTATATGTGTGTGTGTATATATGTGTGTGTGTATGTGTGTGTGTATGTGTGTGTATGTATGTATGTGTATGTGTATATAAATGTGTATATATATATACACACATATATATGTATATAATGTGTAATCTGTATTTTAACTTTTTATCTTTACAGAAAGAAAGAGTTTACTTTCAGGTTTTCTTACCTAAGGGGAGCAAAGAGAAGAGCAAACCAATGTTCTTTTGCCACCGATGGAGCATTGGAAAGGTCATAGACTTTGCAGCTTCTTTAACCAGTCTTAAAAATGATAATAACAAATTAACAGCTAAGGTAACAACTGGTTATAATTTTTCTCTAAAAGCTTTAGGATACTGTATACCAGCATGTTTGTTTATTACAGTATGATTTATTTCCCTTAACAGAAATTAAGGTTATGTCACATTACTTCAGGAGAAGCCTTACCCTTGGATCATACTTTGGAAACCTGGATTGCTAAGGAGGATTGTCCTTTATATAATGGTGGAAATATTATCTTGGAATATCTTAATGATGAAGAACAATTTCTAAAAAATGTTGATTCTTATTTGGAATAGTCTTGTAAGGATTCTAGCCGGAAATGATGAGGAAAATTTTATGTAAAGTCAATTTCTTTTACTACAAATACTCTATATGTTTTTAAAAGTTGCTTTTCAACTGATTTCCATTATGTCATAATTCATCAGTTTTCTGTTAAATTGAATTTGAATTTTTGTATGTTAAAGTTTAACTATGAATGGACATTCAGTAATTAGCAAATTCTTACCTTTAATTTTTATTAGGTTGTGCTTAGTAACAACAAAAAAGGTGTATTTCATTTAGTTAATGTCAGATGTTGTGACTCTGCTGCGTATCCTCTTTACTCCAGGATCTAAGCTGAAGGAATGACTCCTGTTTGGGACATTGCCACTTCTAAGGCAGAGGAAGAAAGAAATGGCTTTTAGAAGATACATGTATTACTTTTGCTTTAAGCAAGTACCCTGGCCAAGCCTTGCATCATGAAGCCAGGATATATAGCCTTAACTCTATATCCAGATGTAAAAATTGATGTGTGTACATGAATCGTAGAAACTTGGAGACCATCTCATTCACTCTAAGTTTTTAGATGAGGAATCTCAGGCCTAGGAAGAGGATTGATTTTTCTTGGTGTTCTCTAACTGCATTGGGGCATATCTCTGATAAAGGTCCTCCTCCAGTAGGATTTACCTTTTTTGTTTATGTAAATGTATTACAAATGAGAGTAAGATGAGGTAGCACAACTTCATTACAGTATCTTTGTATGTATATCAAAGCAAAATACATACCAAAAGGAATTATATTTTACCTACACATTAAAATGAATGCTTCTGACTGATCTATTCCATCAGTACTCAACAAAGTACTACCATATAGAAGAAATAGAAATAATTTGTTTGTTTGTTCTTTTTCCCTTTTTGTTTGGGGAAGGCTTTGTCCCTTTTCTATCTTATTTGTCATAGACATATATAGTAGCTTTACGTATAATTAAGTAAAGGAATTAAACTCAGAATGTTCATCTCTTCATATTTTCATGCAAGGAATGGAGATAACTTCTGACTTCTGTCAGCTACTTATATGTTCATTTATTAAGGTAATTATTTGAGTACCTACTAAATAGAAGAATTTGATTGTAATTGCCATGGTGGATATAATGAGATATATGCATACTTATAATTATAATACAAAGCTGTGTAGCAGGTGCCAAATGAGTAGATAGACAGTAAATATAGATGTTCCAGTGGTTCTTTTATTAGAAACTACAAGGCCGGAAGTAGAAATAATCCTTAAATATATTCCTAGATGCCAGAAAGTTTTAATACAGACCTTAGCATCTGTCATAAATACTTACATAAAGTAGGTGATGAACACATGCCTCATGAATTGAACTACAGTTAAATATACCAGGAAAAACAGCAATGGGGGTTGAGAAGAGAGGAGGTAAGATGGGCAGAAATTGAGTTACACCCAGGGAGAATGAAGAAGAGGTCTTGTCAGTGATTAGACAGAGAAAAGACAAAGCAGCATGGAGGGACAGACTCATGTCAACAGGCAAAGCAGTGGTAAGTTAGATCAGGTCCCAGGTAGTGTAGCAAACTAGTCTAGAGGAGACACACAGGTACCAGCATCCTCAGACTGTAGGGACCAGGGGTTCCAGCATGAGCAGTCACCTAGAGAACAAGATCGTGGGTAAGAAAGTCTCTCTAGCTTCTCATTTCTAAACTACTTTGAAATCAGACAATTTTCTCAGGCTTTCTTTTAGGGCTTTCAGTTGAGGATGCTTAATGAAATTTTAGGGTTTGACTGCCCCACCCAACCCTACTATCTTTCCACCTGCTTATAGACAATTAGAATTCTAAGTAGAAACCCAAAAAAATGGGTGGGGGGGGAGGATGTGTTACATTTAGGTAAGTATTTGTAATACCACTATGATATAAACCTCAGTTTAAATGTAATCAGCCAGTAAATACATGCAAATGATAGGAGTATCAGCTTTCTCCCAGATTTGTCAGGTTTTATTCCTGGCTGTTTTCAAGTAAGGAGAGAAGGCTTGGAGAATGTGAGGAAAGAGAAAGGTTGTTGATAGAAAGGGGGACAAAATTTGTATACTTCACACCCGTGACCTGGGAAACAAAAATTACGAATTAAGATATTTAGTCATACAAGTGTAAAAATAGTTTGGGGTTCATAAAGTTCTTGTTTTATGTCTGTTTTGTTTTGTCATTGTAAATGAGGCAAGTTCCCTGGGAATTTAACTGAGGTACTGCAGAAACATTAGTTCCGTTCCCTGTTTTCAATATTGGTACAATGTGTCATGTTTTTCCTAATGTGGTACAAGGAAACGAGGTACAAAATACAGAATCTCTTGCATTTGAAAGATTAGCCTATATAAATGGAATATTTAAAAACCTATAAAAATGTCCAATAGAAATTGGTTTGACAATTTGTCAAAAAGGGGGCAAATATTTTATAATCTAAAATACTTAATACCTAGCCATCAGAGTTGCATTTGATGAAGATTGTGTCATGATTACATGAAGGATCTGCTGAAATGGTTGTATGTTTGGAGACTACTAGATGTATAGGCTCAGTTTTGTTTTCTTTTTAAAATTTTATTTTTTTGGCCTAGCATCTTCTTTGGGAAATACAAGAGGGTTCGTGAGTCTGTGGCTTGAAATCCAAAAAAGCCTGATATTTTCCTTATTTCTCATAATACACAGGCATATGACCTAAGGTGGGTTAATTGAATGTGAATAGGGAATAGTGTTTTAGGAAGGAGTAAGAGATTAGAATTAGTGCCAGTGGCCTTCCTATGCTCCACTGTGTTGCCATCCCAATGTCCAGGAGTGTTGGCCCTGTAACTAGGTTGTACCTTTGGCCATGGATCCAGCCATCTGCTTTCCCTAGGTTTCCAAGCTTATCTGGTAATCATCCAGGAAATTTCTTTTTACCACTTAAGGACTTCAAAAACAGTTTCAGTTTTTGCCTGGTAACAATCACTCTTTAGAGTTGTAAGAAAACTATTATCAGCCTAAGGATGCTACAAGGCTGATTTTTGAGAACTGCAGTTTTTGTTTGTTTGTTTTAAGTAGGGGCTCGAACTCAACAACCACAAGATCAAGACCTGAGCTGAGATCAAGGTCCGATGCTTAACTGACTGAGCCACCCAGGTACCCCTGAGCACTGTAGTTTTCTAAGAGACAATAAGCAGTTAGTGACTAAGCTCCAAGAGGGCAGAGACCACATCTGAATTGATTACCATTGTATACCCAGCTCCTAGCTCAGTGCCCCAGCAAATATGTTCAGTAAATATTTTGATTTTGACTTGAATGAATAAAATAGTAATATTTATAGGCCTCCCCAATATCTCTTTTAGATTTTTGGATGTGACTGCTTTTAGTGTGGGTTTTCCTTAGGAAGAAAGAGAATTTCAAAAATGACACTAAGGTTTTAAATTCAGGTAAATGGGAGGCTGTTTCTTCATTAGCAGAAATGAGAAGTCCGGAGGAAAGAGTGGAGGTTTCTGCTATGGCTTTTACATTCTCCTAACTACAGGTTAAATAAGTTGTTACTCACCAGATAGCTTCGTATTTTGAAAAGCACAATAGTCCCTCCTACTAGACTTTGGTAAAGCAAAAACAACTTACCTAACAACCTCAGACTGTCACTTGAACCTGTATGAAGAATGTTCTTTAGTTTTTTTAATGGTTTTGCATATGTGATTTATTTAAACTTTCAAAACGATTAGCAAACTTGTTATTGCCCTGCTTTTGTCGTTTGTGACTCTGGGAGAAGCAAGGAAGTCATTTCTCAGTGTTCTGAATATATAAAAGACTGAAATGCTATTTTTCATAAAGACTGAAGAAACTGTCATTGTAAGATCAAGTTATGGAGAAGATTGGCCAAACTCCAGCTATCTCTTCTTGCAATTAGAAGATCTTAAACTGCTGCAAGTGGTGAATGTGACAAAAACCTAATCCGAAACCTTGCGACAGATGAAGATGGAATGACAAATTTGACTGTTTAGCTATGGGATTCTGAAGGTAGGCAAGACTCAAGAAATAACTTCAAAGTGCTTAAAGAAAAGACTGTCTTTTCAAGGTATCAATGCATATTGATTCAAATGTCCTGAATGCTTATTCTACTGATGTGCATTTGGTTGCAGTATTGAATTGCAGTGTGAAAGAGACCTTTGCCAATAATTCTCGGGGGCAGTTACACAATTTTTTTCTTATGTCATTTTATGGATTTTTTTGACACAGCTTTTGGCATCACAGGAGGCACAACATAGGCTTTTGGATTTATAATGACCTGCACATGCCCAGGAGGAGTGAGGTCTATTTCTTTGTTCTGCTTCTAAAAGGAGATATCATTTGGTCATTTAGATAACTTGCACTTTAGTGTTACTGGCCTTGATATTGATGTTTGCCAATTTTTTTTTTTTTTTTTAAGATTTTTATTTGACAGAGAATACAAGCAGGGGGAAGTGGCAGAGGCAGAAAGAGAGGGAGAAGCAGGCTCCCCGCTGAGCAGGGAGCCCAACATGGGGCTTAATCCCAGACCCTGAGATCATGACTCAAGCCGAAGGCAAATGCTTAACCGACTGAGCCACCCAGGTGCCCTGATGTTTGCCAGTTCTTATATGTACAGTAGGATGTTAGGGTTATCATTTCATTTCATATTTCATATTCCTGTTTCTAAAATTATATATACCTTTTTATATTTATCATTTGGAATAGTCAAGTATAAAATACCTGAAAAAGCAAACTTCTTGGAGAGAATAAATAGAACTCTGAGTTTTAATGTCTGTAGGGATTTATTTGACTTTCAGAATGTTTCTAAAAATAGTTAACCTAGAGGTGCCTTTATTGGGTGTCTTAGTTCCTGCTCTGGGTTTGTTGTTTGGGTACTCCTTTGCTAACATTTCTGTGCTGCCTCTTCCTGTTTGTAAAGTTCCTACCAAAAATGGGACGCTAGTTTCTTAGCCCTTGCCATTATTCAGCTCTTTTTCACAGTCCAAGACCAACTTAGCTTCTGTGGCTCCTTTTACAGTGGTCATGTGTTTTGGATGTGAAATGTTACTGTTCCTTTCTGTTCTACAAGGCTAAGAAAATATATATCCTTATCATAGAAGATAAAAGGAGAAAGAAATCCCTAACAATTAAAGGACTACTGAATTCCTACTCTGAATGAGGTACTGTGAGAGATTCAAAGAATATCCAAAATGATGCCTGTTTTCAATATACTTATGATCTAATTGAAAACCTGACACTAGGGGAGTGACAAACACCCCATGAGTAGTACAGACAGTTAAATGTGCAGACATTCAGAGGAAGGAAACCACTTTTAAACTGTGTTGGTTTGGAACTGTTTTATAGAGTTGAATTTGAATATGACACTTTATTATCGTCTCATAAACAGGAAAGAGCAATAAATAATCCTTTAGTGACTGTGATATATCCCAAGTATTTATGGAAGGGCTCTCCATGTAATAGGCAGTCAGTAAATGCTCACACAGTGAATGAATATGTAAATTCCTACTTGGATCTCTCATTGGCTCGTCAGAATCAATGTCTTTTTTTTTTGGTCTTAAATGTAGCCTCTGCTCTCATAACTGTACTTCCTCTTGTCTAGCACATGTGTCACTAAAGACATTACCATTTATCCTGAAACACAGGGTCTTCCCCCTTTGCTCCTTTCTTCCTTCATTCTCTCCTTTATAGTCTAGTTATTTACTACAGAAAATTTCCTATAGTAGCTTTTCATCAATCTCTTCATTTCCAGTAATACCACTTTTTTCTGCCCTGTATTATTGCTTCCCTAAACCTTTAACTAGCTTTTGTCCCCTCTGTCCACTCTCCAATCACTGTCAGATTAATCTTCCTAAAATCTGACTTTGATTATCTATCTTCCCTGCTACAAGCTTTTTTGCCTTTTGAATAAAGTCTGTATTCCTTAGTGAGCCATTTCTTTATTACTGTCTGACTTCATTCTCACTTTCCAGTTGTATCTCCACTCCCACTTCTTTACACACAGCCTTTGCTCCATTCAAGCCGGATGACTTGGTATCTCATGAATATGCCTTTGTTCACACTGTTCCTACAACCTGAGGGGCGGACCTCCTCTAAATTCTGACTACTTCTGCAGGCCTGGCTCAAGGGTCAGCCTTGCCATGAAGCTTTTGCTAATCCCACTTAACAACTTGTAAGTGAAATTTTCTCTAAATTCTCAATTTTTTTTTTTTATATTTCATATTTAGCCAACTTGGCTTGTTTTACAACTATTTGTGTTCTGGTCATATTCTGTTTTGCTATAAATCCTTGAACATGAGAACTACAATCATAATATATAAACAGTATATTAGTATAAACAATATTCATTTTGATACTCCCCATGTCTAGCACATTTCCTATGTGCTTACTCAAAGGGCTAAAGCACTAACTTAGGCCCCAGAGGACTAGTGTGCTTGTTTTATACCACTTTTGAATGATCAGTGGCAATTTTGGTATCTAGTTTGAGGTTTGCACTCTTCTCCAAAGATAGTATGGGCATCAGTAATGAGAAATATCTCTCTAAATAATTCTGCTTCTGACATTTTCTTACCTTGTAGTTGTAGGCAAATGAATCTTCCTATAGTCCAGTTTCCCTGTCTAAAAAAAAAAAAAAAAAAAAAAAAAATGGAAAAAAAGTCAATTCTGTCAATTTGTTGGGGGAATTGTCAACCAAGAAAAGGAGGCGAAAACGAATAAGAAACAAAGGCCTTTTATTTGGGGTCTCCGAATTGCAATTCAGAGAGCACAGATTGTGTTAGCAACTGGAAAAGTGTCCCATTCATGTGGGGAAGACGAGAGGTTATTCTGAGAAAGAATTGGGGTAATATTTTGATAGAGAAAAATAAAACCCTGTTAGCTGAGCTGCTTTTGATTACTCTGACTTTAATTGGTGCTATCAAACGAAACTAATCTTAGTATGTTTTAGTTAACTATTCTGTCTTTATTAAGTTTATATCAACAGTTTTATGGTCCTAATGCCAGTTGTTCTGTTTAGCAACTCCTTGTAAAAAAGTTGCCACTTTTGGCCCAGTTCAAGAATTCACTAGTTAGAAAGGAAAATGAAACTTCAAAATGGAGTCTCTCATGTTCAGAATTCCACAGAATTAAATGAGATCATACTTCAGTGTACTTACTTAGAACAGTACCTGGCACATAGTCCATACTCACTGTTAGCTGCTGCTATTTTATCATAGGTTAAACTTTTGACCCTGAAATATCTATTGGTTTGAAGTATGAATCTTATAACTCTGTATGGAGCCTAAAACTTTGAACGTTTTCCTCTTAATGATATTCACTGTCTTACCCATAGTATTAGGGAATTTTTAATTTGCCAGCTAATAGGACAACCACAGTTTTTTTTCTAATTTCACCAAACCCAGTATATGAATATCAAGATTTATAAAAAACCTGGTTGGCATGGTGGTAGATGGTTATTCATTTTATAAAATAATTGCCTACATGGAATATTTTACTGACTCCTTTAAACAGAAATCTCCACTTAAGAGTTTATAGTTAAGCTTATACAAATTTAACTTACATTTTCATGAACATACTTTATTTTTTAAGATTTTATTTATTTGAAAGAGAGTCAGATAGCGAGAGCACAAGTGGGGAGGAGAGGGAGAAGCAGGCTCCCCGCCGAGCAGGGAGCCCAACGCGGGGCTCAATCCCAGGACCCTGGGATCTTGACCTGAGCCGAAGGCAGACGCTTAACGACAGAACCAGCCAGGTGCCCCTGAACATTATTGATTAGGAGACAAATTGCCTTTCTAGTTACATTTGATCATTAACCTTGTGACTTCGAATAAGACCTTTCTCTGCATTTCATTTTTCAAATCTGTAAAATGAGGATACTCAACTGAGGTTTAAGATCTTGCTCAATTCTTTAAGTGTGTGGTTCTGCCATAAAACGCTAGAACCTAACACCATAGGCAGGGTGATGGGACAAAGTGAAGAAGGTTCAGGTTGATGGGGAATAATAGCCCACAGCTGCAACAACAAAAATAAGGGCTTCTTGAGAGGAGGGACCAAATACTATTTTTATTTTATTTTTTTAGGATTTTATTTACTTATTTGACAGAGACACAGCGAGAGAGGGAACACAAGCAGGGGGAGTAGGAGAGGGAGAATCAGGCTTACCGCAGAGCAAGGAGCGCGATGCAGGGCTCGATCCCAGGACCCTGGGATCATGACCTGAACTGAAGGCAGACGCTTAACGACTGAGCCACCCAGGTGCCCCCAAATACTATTTTTAATTCCCTACAGTGTTTACCTCAATGCCTTGAATAAAGTTGGTTCTTAATAAACACTGAATTAATCACCAATATCTATAAAGGTCAAGATCATATACTCTAGAACCAGATAATGCTTGGGTCTGCACTTCTAGTTCTGTCACCAGCTGGGGGACATTGGTCAAGTTACCTAACCTCTCTAGGCCTAAATTGATATGGAAATTGGGGGTAATGATAGTATGATGATAGTTGTGAAGGTTAAATGAGCTAATATTAAGGCCCTCAGAGCAATGCTTACCACCTAGTAAACTCTATTCTTACTCTATACATATTTGAATGATCTGTAACCTTAAAAGCAGCTGAATGTGCATGATGGAAGTAGGAATATATTTTCTTATAGATGTATCATGGAAGACAGATTTTTACATGGTAAAATTTGTCTAATTTGGTTGGGATGAAGTTACTCGTTGTTTTGTTTTTAAAGATTTTATTTATTTGACAGACAGTGAGAAATGGAACACAAGCAGGGGGAGAGGGAGAAGCAGGCTTCCCGCCGAGCCCGGGGCCCGATGCGAGGCTCGATCCCAGGACACTGGGATCGTGACCTGAGCTGAAGGCAGACGCTTAACGACTGAGCCGCCTAGGTGCCCCTCAAGTTATTCTTTTTTTAAGAATGAGGCATAAAGTGTGTTGTCTGATTGCTTGAGTTCACACCATTTTATATAGCCAGGATTGGTTAGACAAAAGATCCAAAGATAGAGAGGTAAGACACTTTTTTTTTTTAAAGATTTTATTTATTTGAGAGAGAGAATGAGATAGAGCACGAGAGAGGGGAGGGCCAGAGGGAGAAGCAGACTCCCCGCTGAGCAGGGAGCCCGATGTGGGACTCGATCCCGGGACTCCAGGATCATGACCTGAGCCGAAGGCAGTCGCTTAACCAACTGAGCCACCCAGGCGCCCGAGGTAAGACACTTTTTAATAGTTTCTTTCCAGCCCTCAAGAAGGGGTGATTCTATGATACATTGTTCCAAGAATAAAAATTCTATGTGCAATTCTAATCTGTTGGGTCAAAACATGAAATCTTGTTTGGTATCCTGGAGACGCCATTCCTGAGGACCTGCACATTGTGTTAAATTTTTATTTTAAAATCAAAGTCCACTAAATAAAGTCTTGGTATGTGGAATTTTTTTTTTTTTCCAGTGAAAAGAGTTGCCATCTAAAAGAAATCAGCTCCAGACATTTAAGTAGAGTTAACAAGATACCCAAGATTCTTGGGAAAGGAATCACCACGGTGGTCCCTCTTTATTCAAATACAGGACAATTGGGCACTTACTGCTCTTGCAGATATGTGACCTAAGCACTTTGTGGCTTGATAAGGGACCTTCTTCCCCCAAACCACCCCCTCTATGTATAGTCAGGTGTCTGGGAAAGTATCAAGGGCATTGGATCTCACCTCTTTCCTATTTTGAAGTTTAGCATAATTAGAACCTTTCTCACTGATGGAAGTCTGCTGGTAGGAAAGGATATCTCAAAGACTCAGAAGAGGAATGTTCCTTTAGGGATGTCTGTAATGGTGACCTGCGTGCCACATCAGGAAGCAGATTTTGTCCTGGCATAGTGTGTGGCTGATGCTGGAATCTGACCCCTCTCTAACCCCCAACGACCTTGGAACAACAGATAATCTTTGGTACTGGGAACAATGGCTTTAGATATGATGTGGCTTTAAAAATTGTCCCTTTGGGAAGCCAAGAGCAATATACCAGGTACTGAGACCTCTGCAGCCCTCTAAACTCACAGCACTGAATAAAAATATTTTGGATTGTGTGGGACCAGTTTGCAACACTGCCAAAACCGGATCTTCGCGCTAGACTTTCCTGTACACTACAGGATTCCTCATTCATTTTCAGGCATTTGGAAGTCGAACGGTCTCTTTGGACTGCAAACCCTCCGGTTACTTGAGAACAATTGTGAGGTAGCAGCTGAGGGCCATGGAAAAAAGACTTCCTGCTCATTTGAGGTGGGAAGTGTTAAGTGATTTTAATTTGAATAAGGAATAAGATTTGATCTTCTGACTTAACATTGCTTATGTTGATTTTAGTTATAGCAGCTTTGCCAAAGTAGTGGGACCATGTTCATTTAAAGGAGACTTAAAGAGGACTCTGGTGACATTTCTGCAAATGCCTGGAGAATTTTATTTGGTTAGATCAACACTAGTCGCTATGCAGTTGGCAAGATTATTTTTTAAAGATTTTCTTTATTCATGAGAGAGAGGCAGGGAGGGAGGCAGAGGGAGAAGCAGGCTCCCTGAGGAGTAGGGAGCCTGATGCAGAACTCGATCCCAGGACTCTGGGGATCATGAGCTGAAGGCCAATGTTTAACCGACTGAGCCCCTCAGGCGCCCTAGCAAGATTATTTTAAGATACTGACAATGAAGAACCAAAAAGCTAATTTCTCAAGTTCTTGCGCAGGTTGCAGAAAGGAAGTTGTAACCAGAACTAAAGAGAGGCCAAATCTCCAATGCCTACTCAGGCCAGCAGGGCCGGGTGGGGCAGGAGCCTCCCACGGGCGCGCTCAGGGCGGCCGGCCCGAAGGAGTCACGCCCACGTGGGCGGGGCTGCAGGGGTGGGACTTCCTGTTGGGGAGATTTCTCGCTCTCTCAGGAAGAACCCAGGCACAGATTCCGCTGGTAACCTAGTGAGTCTGACGGACCCCAAGTTGAGGTAAGTCCTGCATTCCTGCGACTTCATATGGGCTGTCGGGCCGTCTGGGTCGGAGGTGCGGGCCTCCGCGCCCGCGGCCGGAGTGGGTGGGAGCGCAGGGTCCGAGGCCGCAGCCGGGGCCCCTTTATCCCTGCGGTGTTATTCTTAGCCCCGGCCGCCGAGTGACACCGGCAACAGGCCCCACGTCGTGTAGCGGTTTCGCCCCCGCGTTCTCTCTAAACCCTTGTGGCAGCCGATGTAGAATAATTTTCTCTTTTTCATTTTTACTGATTCCAAGGAAGCTCAGACCTGGCGTATTTCCAGGGTCATGCAGTCCCAGTTTGAGCCCCTCATCTCATGTTGTCTTCAGTCGCCCTGCTGGGGACAGGTGACAGGAAGGTGGCATGGTTCCCACTGTCAGGAAGGCTGTGACCGGGACAGAAACAGTTGGGAATGTTTCAGGCGTTTGTAGGAAAGTGAAGGTGAATAGAATATGCTCATTTCCATCAAGAAATATGCTCAAAGTAGTTGTGAATATAAGGCACCTACACAAATGATCAAAATGTAAGGAAGACATTCCTGAGTGCCCTAAGTGTCATGCAGGAGCTTTATGGGCTCTTCCAGGCCAAGCGTCCTCCCAGCTTTTCACTGTGTATACCTTAGGAATGTTATTCAGGCTCAGGACTCAGTCGTTGCCTACTCAGGTAGGTGACTTACATAGTATTTGTATCTGCAGGCCATATCTCTTCTGTGAGCTCGGGATCCCTAGTTCAGCTGCCTAACTGACATCTCCTTTTGGTTTCACGAAGGCTTCTCCTCCTCTACTAATTAAACTTTTGATCTCTCCACCCCCTATCCAGATCTCCAAATTGACTCTTTTCTGTTACTGCCCGTTTCAGTGAATGTCACTATTATCCATTCAGTTGCTAAAAGTGGGAAATCTGGGCATCATTGAACTCTTCCTTTCATATCCATATCCAGATTATTGCTAAATGCCCCCCCAACTTTACCTCCCAAAGCAAGTATCTCTCCAAACTTCTCTATAAACACCTCTCCCTCCACTCTCCTAGGTCTAAGCCAACGTTCGGGTCTCCTGTGGACTACTGCATCCTAATTCTAAATCTCCAGTCCAGTCTACCCAGCACCCACTCTCCACTCCTCCCTCCAGCCTCCAATCTGTCCTCTTCTATAGCGGTGGTGAAATGATTCTTCATGGCTCTCAGTCAGAATCTTACCTTTAAGGTCCTGCCTGGGGTGATGCCTACTATCTCCCCAGTCTCATCCCTTGATCTCCTAGCTGTCACACTTAGGCCTTTTAGTTACTCTTCACTTATATCCTGCAGTTGAGTTAGTTAATGCCTATTCACTTGTCCTTCAGATCTTGGTCTAATCATGTTGTCAGGGCAACCTTATCTGATACCTAAGGCCAGGTTAAAGCTCTTCTGTTACATGGTTCTCTCATTGTACTTCTACTTAGGCTTTGTTACATTTGTGATTTTGCATGTAGTCTGATTTTATTATTAATATCTGACTCCCCACTAGCAAGTAAGTGAACTGGGCCTGTTTTCCTTACTATGATGCAGTGCACAGTGTATCATAGGTATTTAGCAGATAGCTGTCAGATGATTAAACAAATAATGAATTCTGGATGGAGAATCCCTAGAAGGGGTAGCTTTTGAAATGGGCATTGAAGAATTGGTAGGAGTTATACCTGTGCAGGTGCTGTTAGAAGGCAGAGATATGAGAGGCTTGAGCAAAGTTTCTGGCAACAAAGCAGATGCACTGTTCTGTTAATCTAGTTCTGTTAAGCCTGGAAGAGAGGAATGGAGTAAGAATGGAAAAAGAAAAAAGAATTTGGAAACAATTCTTGAGACACTCTAAGCAGTGACTTCTGTAACTTGAAAAGTGGCTTCCCTTTTACATTAAAAAAAAAAAAATCTTAGGGAAAAAAAAAAAGGGCAACTACCAGCAGAAACACCTCACTGTTTCTGCCCTTTGCCCTCTCCTCCTTTCCTCTTTCCTACACTGTGAGCACCATGGTAGGGAATTCTGAGTAATCTTTAAGGTGAAACTGTGTCAGTTATTCTCAATTATAAAAGTGACAAAATTGGGGTTGCTTTATATTTTATTTTTTAAAGATTTTATTTATTTGTCAGAGAGGAGAGAGCACTAACAGGGAGAAGCGGCAGGCAGAGGGAGAAGCAAGCTCCCTGCTGAGCAAGGAGCCCGATACTGGATCCCAGGACTCTGGGATCATGACCTGAGCCGAGGGCAGATGCTTAACCAACTGAGCCACCCAGGCATCCTTTGGGTTGCTTTATAAATGATGGCACATTTTTCTGACCACTTGCAAAGCTTCACTGTCCTAGGTTCCGATTTTAGAGTGTGGTCAAGCAAGTGGTGAGTTATTTTGGTATTCTCTTCAGAAGTCAGTGGAAAACTGGACAGTTCAAAAGACAAAAATATGGGTTTTTTTCTGGGAAATTTATTATTTTTTTAGTCCTGGAATATTCTTTTCCTCACATGTCATAATAGAAAGATCAGAGGACTGTAACATCAGAATTGAGTATATACCTTCTGTGCCTTCCTTTCAAAGCTTCTTTAATTTCAGCATTCCCAATGTTCTTTTATTTTCACTTTATTCTCTACCCAAACATACACCTATCTTTTAAAATACTTATGTGTCCTTTCTTCTCCATCCCCCAATCGAGTGTTGTTTTTTTTTAAAGATTTTATTTATTTATTTGACAGAGAGAGACACAGCAAGAGAGGGAACACAGCAGGGGAAGTGGGAGAGGGAGAAGCAGGCCTCCCGCTGAGCAGGGAGCCCCATGCGGGGGCTCGATCCCAGGACGCTGGGATCACGACCTGAGCCAAAGTCAGACGCTTAACGAATGAGCCACCCAGGCGCCCCGAGTTGTTTTTTTAAAACGTTATGTTATGGGCACTTTGGGAAACACTTTTATAGAGTGTTTTTTTTGTTGTTTGTTATGTAAATGTTTCTACACTAGAAGTGGTTTAGGTAAGAATATTTTTTAATGGACTTACCAGTGAATCTTGAAAAACATTGAACTCTAACACCAAGAAGAGGGCAATTACATTTGTGATTTTGTACATGTGATTCATTTCCTGAATGAAAGTATTGTGCTAATCGAGATGTTTTTCTGAACTATTCTGTAATTAAGACTTAGAGATTTTTAATTGCTTTGTCCTGACTTGTGTTAAATCTATTCAGAAGATGGCTGATCCTTGGCAGGAATGCATGGATTATGCAGTAACCCTAGCAAGAGAAGCTGGAGAGGTATGAACTGAAATCTTGTCAGCCATGATGTGATGGATGTGGACAGCATGTGGTTGTCCTGTGAAATAACACATGCATTTTGATTAATTTGTATTTGTTTTCATTTTACTAAACATTTTCAATGGAGTCAATACTCTTATGTCCTTAAACCTTTTTAATGACAAATGTGAATTTAAAATAGGATGTAAGATTGTATGCTTTTGTACCTAGAATGTCATAACCACTGTAAGTTTATTTTATATACATTGTGGTAAGACATTTTTAAGAACATTTCAGACAGATTGAATGTTTTAAACCACTTCTATAGTTCATCTTTTAGTTTGATTTAAAATGATATATGCCTTTTCTGTTTGCTTATCAAAAAATCTTTTTAGGTGGTTCGTGAAGCTATAAAAAGTGAAATGAATGTCATGATTAAAAGTTCTCCAGCTGATTTGGTAACTGCTACTGACCAAAAAATTGAAAAAATGCTTATATCTTCCATAAAGGAAAAGTATCCATCTCACAGGTATTTTTTATTTTAGTTTCACATGATAAATTGAACCTTAGGTTAGAGTCAATGTACTAGACAAATTTTGATTCTAGACACAGAAATTGACTTTAGTTAACTTAAGCTGAAAAGGAATTTATTTGGAGAGTGTTGGGCAGCTCAGGAGCCCCGAGAGCAGGGCATAGGCAGAAGTCAGGAAGGCCGTGCTACAGGTGCCCAGGAGCCATTGCTTCAGATGCCACCAGTGGTAGCTTCATGACTGCTGCCTTTGGATATCTTGGCCTCATTATCTCAAGATTACAGATCCTGAGCAGGAATGTCTTGCTGAACTCCGGTTGCTTGCCCGAGCTCAAGCTGCCAGGAAGGAACAAACAGGAGGTATTTGGGTTCCTTCATAGTAAGAGGAGTGTTTGGATGCTGGGAAGCTAATATGACAAATGTCTGCCACAGTTATGATTTAGAAGTTTTATTCTCTATATCGCAAACTGTCTTATGTGTTAGAGTGTTGGTAACGTTAACGAGTTTGAGAGAAAACACTACAATCAGGGCTGTCTTACAGAGACATATAGCAGAAACATTGTCATCCTTTTAAAGTTTTAACATTGTCATTCTCTACTTTTTTTTTTTAAAGATTTATTTATTTTAGAGAGAGCAAGTGCACACGGTGGGGGTGGGTGGAGGGGGAGGGAGAGAGAATCTCAAGCAGACTCCCCGCTGAGCACAGAGCCTGACACAGGGCTCGAGCTCACGGCCCTGAGATCATAACCTGAGCTGAAATCAAGAGTTGGAGGCTTAACCAACTGAGCCACCCAGGTGCCCCTGATTTTCTATTTCTTGGTCATGCCATTATCTGTTCCTGATATTTTAGCCATGGAGAAGAAAAAATGTTTAAAGCTGTGGCTAAATATACTTTCTCTTAGTAAAAAGGTTTACAGCTAAGTGAAAAGGGGATGAAAGAAAATCATACTGATTATAGGATAGTTCAGTATTGAATAAAAGAAAGAAAATGAACAAAAGAAATAAAAAGAAAACCAATGAACTCAGACACCATTTACAAAATTCACCTGAGATTTATTGCATAGCATGTTTTAGGAAGGCATGTAGACACAGTAATTTTGGTGGGTAATTTGCTTTCTCATTGACTTATTTAATGTTCTCTATGTTGTCTATTGCTGCATAGCTAATTATCCTAAAAACTTTGCAGCTCTAGACAACAAACATTTATTATCTTAGAGTTTTCAAGGGTCAGGAATATGAGAGTAGCTTGGCTGCATGGCTCTGGTCGGGGTCTCATAAAGTTATAGTCAAACTGCTGGTCAGAGCTGTAGCATTTTAGGGCTGAAGGATAAGTTCACTTAGGTGATTGTTGGTGACTTCAGTTCCTCCTGGGTTTTCTGCTAGCAGCTCCCCTCATTTCTTCTCCATGTGGGCCTCTCCATAGAGCAGCTCTTAACATGGTGGCTGGCTTCCCCTGGGGCAAGAAAAGGAAAGGGACAGAGGGAGAAATAGAGTAAATAAGATGGAAACCACAGTACCATTTTTATGAACGAGTCTTCACAGTTGTATATTGTAACTTCTGCTTTGACTCTTGGTTAGAAGAGAGTCACTCAGTTCAAATTCACACTCAAGGCAAGGGGTGTTAGGTTCTACCTCTTAAAGAGAAGAGCGTGAGAGAATTTGTGGAGTTATTTTTAAAAACCACATTTCCTTAGTAAGTTCTCATTTGCAACAAATGTGTGTGCATACACACATGTGAGTGCCTTTATTTACCCTGGTATTGCATTTGAGAATTTTGAATTTTATTTTTCACATAACTTTGCTCTGGGGGAAATAAAGTTTTCTCACTTTATCAATCTGAAGGAAGAAGGAACAACAATAGGAAAGTGGTATATGGACTTTTGTTATGTATTAAAGTGACTCTGAATCTAAGGAAATGTTTAGGTTTGAAAATTGTTGAAAGCAGTGTGAAGATTTGGAATTTGTCCTTGCTTTTAGTTTCATTGGTGAGGAATCTGTGGCAGCTGGGGAAAAAAGTGTCTTAACTGACAGCCCTACATGGATCATTGACCCTATTGATGGAACAACGAATTTTGTACATAGGTATGTTTTAAAATGTTAGTATTGTAATTACTTGTTTGTATACTAACTGAATAGACCTAGATACTTTAGAGAATTGTATAATTTGTAGAGTGAAGTGTATTATGCAGAATTTTCATCAGATATGGAAGAGATGATGAAATATTCATGCCATGGACTTTTGCAGCGAGGGGCCCTGTTCACCATTTTTTTTCTCACTGGTGGAGCCATATAAGAATGTAAGCAAGCAACAGTGCTGCTTTGAGATTAAGGAACTAATGGAGTCAATTTTGGGGGTCACATAGAATGTTGTCTATATAGAGTAGGTTCAGTCCGGGAGAAAAAACTATTAAAAAGAGCATGGGCTTTTAAGATCAACAGACTTGGGCTTGATTCCAGATGCTTTTATAGGCTTTGTGACCTTAGGCAAGTTATTTAATCTTTCTAAGCCTCCGTTGTTGTTTTTTAATGTGTAAAATGGACATCTTAATTGTACCTGCCTCTTAGAACTGTTCATGGGATTCAGTGAGTAATACTTATATATAAGAACTTAGTGTAGTGCCTGGCACAAAGTATGTAGCTCAGTATATTAGCACTAAAAGAAAGCCTGAGGGATTGCCGGTGACAGTTAAAATGGGTAGCCTGGTTTGTTGGGATTACACATAAATGTTACATTTGAAGTTGCCGTGTAGCTCTACATATCTTTACTAGTACAGAATTGTTAAAGTCTGCAAAACGAAGATCTAGAATCTATATGTAGAGTGTTAATGTGGAAAGATGCTCATGACATAACATAGAGAAGATTCTAATACAGAGTGTATACTATGATCCCATTTTTGTTAAAATGAAAACTATTAAATATTAACCTTTTTATTTTCAGTAGTTGAACACATTTTTCTTATTTTGTTCATCTTGACTCTTGAGTCAGAAATTACAGCCTGTGTGTTCAGACTGTCCTGCAGCCATAGCAATAGCTGTGCCTAATGGTTTACTTTTAACATGTGAAACTCCCAAGTTTGGTATTAAAGACAAGTGACAGTTCGTTCTGTACAATTTGATATCTGTGTTTATAGGTCCTTACTTTGGGAGAAATGACCAAAGAAAAGAGACTTTTTAACCATGAACAATTAAAAAATTTTTTAATTTGTTTTTATTTTTTGAAAAAAAAATTTTACAGTTACTATATTCGTTGCATTTGACATTCCAAAGATATAAAATGTCATGCAGTGCAAAGTGTCCTTCCCACTTCTGACCGCAGTTTCTCAGGACCCATCTCTGGAGGTGGCCACTGTTACCAGTTTCTTGTGAATTCTTTCAGAGATGTTTCATGCCTGTAGAAGCTAGAAGCATCCTATATGTATGTATATGCACCATCTCTCCCCATATTCCCCCTATTTACACAGAGGGCTGCGTACTATACACACTGTTCTGTGGGAGGAGGGGTGAGACTATTTGTATGAAAAGTTATGTAGTCAATTACATTATGAAAAAACATGTTTATTGAAAATAATTTTATCTTGGTAAATTTGTATATGTGTGTGTGTGTTTTTTTTTTAAAGGTTTCCTTTTGTAGCTGTTTCGATTGGCTTTACTGTAAATAAAAAGGTACGCTGTTTAAATTTATGGTAAAATGCCTTGCTCCTATTTTCTGAGAAAGAGTACATGTGTCTGTAATAAATTTAGGTTTGTCTCTATATTCAATTTATATAGCTGCGTTATTTCAAAGTAAGCTGCAGAACTGTTAAAATCGGCATGATACTTTTTCCATTAAAGAAAATTTAATGTCTGAGAAGCAATAATTAAAAGGAAAAAATACATGCAAGTAACTGAAATACAATTCCGTATTTAATCACCATTATATATGTAATAGAGTCAGATATGATAGGAGTTGATGTGTGATCTAAAATGCTAACTGGAAGAGGTGGGATTTGAGCTAGGAATGCCTTAATAGGCGTCAGTGAAGGGAGACTTTGAAAGACCAGAAAGTGGTAGAGGCCAGAACATGGTTGGGAAATGCTGAGTATGTTCAGGAACCCAAATACTTGCTATATCTAAAACCCAGTAGAATACGATCTGTAGCAATTGCATTTCCTTGCTGTTTGGCTATTTGATCGATCAAACAATGAATGATGTTTACTAACATCTTACACACCTGTCTTCAAGGAGCTTGTGATATATTTGATCAGCATGTGCACAAGAGAGTTAAAAAAAAACTATGAAAATTAAAACACATCTTAGGCACAGGGTTGCGCTCATTAGTGAGAACATCTGAAAGAAGCTAAAGGAACCTTTAGCATACAATCAGCCTTGGGCTATGTGCTGTTCCTGCCACTGAACTAACTCGCAGTTCATGCACAAGTTAGATGTGCGAACAGATAAATACGTAGTGGAACTATGAAACAATGCCGTGGGAACATGAAGAGGGTGTATCTGATTCTGCCCAAGAGTGGTTTGGGGAAATCTTCATACAGAAGGGGTCTTTAGAATTTGGTCATGTGAGTTGGGTTTTAGAAACGTAGGAGTTTTTCAGATTAAAGAAGAAAAGGAGGAAAGCATTTTAATCAGAACAGCTTGGAGAAGAGCATGATGTGTGTGGGGAACGAGATGTTCATTGTGAGTGAAACTATGAAAGTGGCAGGAGCAGAATTGATGAGGTGAGTTAGTTGTGGTTTTATTGTGAGGCACTGTGGCCTATGTCAGAACATTTAGATTTTGTTTTTAGGCTGTAGAAAACCAGTAGAGGTTTTTCAAGTACAGAGTGACAGATAATTCTAGCAATGCAGAGATCATACCAGAGGGGCAGGCTGGGTGATTCTGAACTAAGATGGGGCAGTGAGGGTGGCTGAGGAAATGCCAAAATCAAGAAGTGCTTTCAAGATGAGATTTGAAGAAGACGACATGTGGGGAAGGAATGAGGTGTGATGAGGTAATGAGTGATCTTTGATCTCTTCGGTTGAGGTTTCTGCAAGATGAGCTGAAGCATAGGTTCTTACCTGTGACAATGGGATTATAGGTGGAACAGGCCACAGTTAAAGGTGGTAGTTGAATTTATGGACTGGAAAGAACAAACCTCTAAGAAGATAGACATCCAAGAGGGGAATGGAAGATATGGAAGAGTGAACAAATCCTGACCTACACAACTTTTAAGGGTTGGACAGAGAACAAGGTCTTTCGAAAAAGTGACACAAAGATAGATTAGTGAGTGAGGTAGGACTAAGAATCTGCCAGAAACATGGGGGTACTGGATTAAGTAATGAAGTGTGGATGATGGTCCGCAGTCTCCAGTGCTTTGGAGATGGCATTTGGTTAGTAGGAGTTCCTGGGTAATCTCTTTTGGGGAAGTTTCAGAAGTGTGTGTGATCAGGGCAGAAGCCAAATTGTAATTTTTATTAAGAGGAGAATGGGAGAGGTGAAGTGTAGACTACCCTTTGGCAGGGAAGGGAAAAGGAGAAGATAACATCTTGAAAATTTTGTGGGGGAGGTAGAAATTTGGTGTGAAAGTACCAGAATGAAAATCTGAGAGAAGGAGGATCAGTTGATAGAGGAGTTTTTCAGAGACATTTGAGAGGGTAGGAATTATAATATGGAAGGAAGTAGGAAATATTTACCTACCTGGGGCAGGAGAGCGAGAGGTCAAGGTGGGTGCTCTTAAGTTGAGAAATGGAAGGGGCAAGTGTCAAGGATTCAAGTCTGATGATCTCCTTTCTCTGTGTAAGCTGGAAATTATCATTTTTAAGTATCCCATAGTAGTTATTTGAAAACATTCTCAATATAGTGGATTTTTTTGTTACTGCCTTTAACAAAAAGTATTGATTTAATGGTGAAAAATACTCAGGTTTGGTAAAGGAAACTTTTGTCCTTCTGCAGATGGAATTTGGAGTTGTATACAGTTGCCTGGAGGATAAGATGTATACTGGCAGGAAAGGAAAGGGAGCCTTTTGTAATGGTCAAAAACTACAGGTTTCACAACAGGAAGGTAGGTTTATCCTCTCATTTTTGGTGTGGTTGATATTATATACATGTATTTTATTGTTTTTGAGTTAACCAATGGAGTTCTCCCAGTTGTTAACAGATTCATAAATTATGTGTATTTTCCCTTTACGTTTTTATTTCCACCACAGTTTTGAATGTGGTAGTGGAAGCAAAGAAGGCAAGTGTAGTCCAGCAAACACCACTTCAGACTCAGCAGCTTGCTAAGTGCTGGGGATAGAAAGATGAATAAGAATGGCTTCCTGCCCCCATGGAGTTCATGGTTTATTGTTTAAGCCACTACATCTCAAATTCTTTGTCAAATTCCTCTAATCTGATGTTGCTGGGACCAGTTGTTAGACTGTAAATCTGAGGGGGGGGGGAAACGTCTATTAATGTCGGGAATCATTAAAAATGAGGTCTCTACATTTTTTATGACCTTGATGATTGGTATTTTGTCTTCTGTGTGACAGCTCATTGAAGTTTTGAGTCACCTTTTTTCCATAAACCGTGTCCAACATTTCCCACAGTTTGTATTTCAGATTCTTTTAAGTGCATCAAGAGCTTAAAGATACTTGCAAATCAATCTAAATTCAGAATCCCCCTACACTTTTATAATTTTTCTCCTTGAACACTTAATTTGAGAGCAGATTTTTAGTTCATTTTCTTTTTATAGAACTCTAAGACCCCAAAGATTGGGATGTGCATCATTATTTTTAAGATGATTAACATGTGAAAAAACATGGCATCTTATAATCAAAGTAATGTGGTAGCTTTTGTAGAAACTAAACCTTTCCCTTTTTATAATTTTTTTGCTTTTTATAGTTTTTAATTAGATTATGTGATTATTAGAAGAAACAGTAATTGTAAACATGTTCAGAACAAGTTGGTAAGCGTACACTGGTGGGAGGAGATGAAGTGTAGGGTATGCTACACAGGGAGCCTGTTAGCGGAGAGTGTTGAGTGTGTTATGAGCTTCAGTCATGTTGTTTCCAAGACAGAATGGAAAGCATTGGGTAATCCATCAATTTAGTAAATGGAGGTCAGCCACCACTCAAACTTCTGTTTTATTTCAAATCTATATTTAAATTATTTAATTTCTAAATTCTACTTTTTAAATATTTGAGGTATTTGCTTGTTTCCCACTAAAGGTATCATGCATGCAAGCAAATTGGTTATATTCTACACTTTTTGGGGATGATCTAAGAAGCAGACTCCTTGATTATAAAAACAACCACTTAAGGATAATAAATTTATCAGAATTTTAATACCTCAAGGCTTAGAATGAAAGAAATATGGTACAACTAGGGTGAGGGATAAAAATGGTCCTATTTTATTCTGAATTACAAGTATCACATTTTTAAATAAGAGTTCTTATTGTTAAACTCTAGTGATTATTTAAAACATTCTCTTTTAGATATTACCAAATCACTTTTGGTGACAGAGTTTGGCTCTTCCAGAACACCAGAGACTGTAAGAATTGTTCTTTCTAATCTGGAAAAGCTTTTGTGCATTCCTATTCATGGGTAAGCTCTTTTCATTTCTTCCCTGAAGTTCCAGAGAATTTAACATTTTCAAGAATGAATTTTCCATAAAAATGAAATTTTTTAATAGGCTTGGGATCAGTACCATAATTATAATTTTGTAATGTATTAAAAAAACTTTCTGAGAACAATTTCAAACTTAAAAAATTTGCAGAAATAATGGGGAAAAAAGTATACCCTTTACTTATATTCACCTGTTGTTAACATTTTACCCCATTTGCTTTATCATTTTATCATTCCCTCTGTGTGTGTGTGTGTGTGTGTGTGTGTGTGTGTTGTACATACATGAATGTGTGCATACACAAGTGTATACACACCTTTTATCCCCCTGGACTATTTTAGGGTAAATTACATATATTATGGCTCTTTACTCCTAACTACTTCAATTTATTTCCTGAAATTAGGGATATTTTCCTCCATGACCACAGTACAATTGTTGACCTCATAAATTTACGCTCCATCTAATCTACCATCCATATATAGTTCTGACAGTTGACCTAACAATGTCCTTTGTAGCATTTTCTTCCTCCAGTGCAAGATTCAGTCTAGGGTCAAGCATGAATATAGTTGTCATGTCTCTTCAGCCACTTTTGATCTGGAATATTTCCACAGCCTAAGAAATTCCCACCTCCTCTTAGTTTTCAAATTATTTGCATAGAAGAATACAAGGTAGACTCTTATAACTTACTTCTGTTTCTCTGTATCAATAGTTACTTCTTCCTTGTCATTTTTTTTTTTTTTTATATTTGTGCTTTCTTCTTGTTGTAAATCTTGGTTAAATTACTTAGTGGTTTGTCTCCACTCCCCCCGCCCCACACCGAAAATTAGGATTATGATTTATTATTCTGATCTACAGTTTTTTTCCTCTCTGCCTTGAATTTATTTTTATTCTTTGATTTTTTTTTTTTTTTAAAGATTTTATTTATTTAATTCATGAGAGACAGAAAGAGAGAGGCAGAGGGAGAAGCAGGCTCCCAAGGAGCAGAGGACCCTGGGATCATGACCTGAGCCGAAGGCAGACGCTTAACCATCTGAGCCACCCAGGCGCCCTTTTGATTTTTTTTATTAATGTGTTAGGTTATGAATTTTTATCTTACTGTTTTAAATGTATCCCATAGATTCTAATATGTAGGGGTTTCATTATAATTATTTTTCACAAACTCTGTAATTTGTATTTTCCCTTTCACCTAAGAGTTGTGTTCTTAAATTTCTATAAAGAAATTTTTTAAATTTCATTTTTAATTTTAATAGTTTTATTACATCATAATGAATCTGCTATGGAGTTGACTAATATTTTATTTGTGCCTAGTATATGATTAATTGGGGGGATGGTTCTGTACACACTGAAAAGTATATTCTCCATTATTAGGGTATAATCTTTGATATATAGCCTAAAGATGAACCCTATTATTATTATTATTATTTTTGTCTACTTCACCTGTATACTGAGTGATAGGTTAAACTCTTCCATTATTGGTATGTTTCTCTATATTTCTCCTTGCAACTCTTAGAGCTTTTATTTTACATAAGGTGGAAGATGGCATTATTTGATGCCTATACATACTGTTATAACTTCTTGTATAATTTTAACTTTATATAGTATCCTTTGTCTTCTTTCATGCTTTTAGACTTAAAGTCTGCTTTGATATCAAAATTGCAAACTCTCATTATTGCTATTTGCCTGGTAAATCTTGGTCCACTCTAACTTTTAGCCTTTTTAAGTGTATCTCTTGAATACAGCATGGAATGGAGTTTTGCTTAAGAATGCAAATGAATTTAAGTATTTTTTTCTTTTAATAAAACAGGCCTCTTCATTTATTAATATGACTGTTTTGTTTAGTCTCAATTCTACCCTTTGGTCTTAGTTTTTTGCTTGACTTTAGGAAAGGATGGGGCAAGCATTTTATAAAGTTTTCCAGGTGACCTTTAGATTGTATGAGCTCATCCTCTATAGATTCCTTGAGAAGAGCACATGTGTATAAGACTCTATGAGTTCTAGCACATTCTGTACTGTTTTTCTATGACCTTGAATGTTGAACAGCCTGGCTGGATATAATACCCTTAAGAAACAGTATGAACTAAATGTCTTGAAAATGCTATTTTACTGTTGCCTTGCTTTGTATATTGCTTTTGAGAAATCTGATGCCATTCTAATTTTCTTGGCTTTTAAATTCATTTTTTGGGGTGCCTGGGTGGCTCAGTTGGTTAAGCGTCTGCCTTTGGCTCAGGTCATGATCCCAGGGTCCTGGGATCAAGTCCCCCATCGCGCTCCTTGCTCAACAGGGAGCCTGCTTCTCCCTCTGCCTCTGCTGTTCCCCCTGCTTGTGCGTGCTTACTCGCATGTGCTCACGTGTGCTCTCCCTCTCTCTCTCTGACAAATAAAATCTTAAGAAAAAAAAAAATTATGTCTTAATTGGAGGCTCTTGAGAATTTTTTTTTTTCTTTTAATCTTCCACGGCTAATAGCTTTACAAGGATAGATCTTGGAATTGCTCATTCTGGCAGAATTTTCTCCTTTAACAAGTATACTCAGATCTTTTTTCATTCAGAAAAATTTTTTTGAGTTACAGTTTTAAATACTAGTTCAGTTCTCATTTTCATTTTCTGTTCTGTTTTCATTTTCTTCAGGACACTGGTAGGAATGTTCAGTTTCCTTTGGGTCTTCTTTTTCAGCCACTTTCTCTCTGACCCTTTTTACTTCTTTCATGTATTGCTTTTCCTCATTGACTTTTTCTTTTTATTTTTTTTAAAGATTTTATTTATTTATTTGACAGAGAGAGCACAAGCCAGGGGAGCAGCAGGCAGAGGGAGAGGGAGAAGCAGGCTCCCCGAGGAGGAGGGAGCCCAAGCGGGGCTCGATCCCAGGACCCTGGGATCATGACCTGAGCCGAAGGCAGTCACTCAACCAACTGAACCACCCAGGTGCCCCTCCTCATTGCCTTTGATTAGGTTTTTTTAAAATTTTTTATTATGTTAATCACCATGCATTACATCATTAGTTTTTGATGTAGTGTTCCATGATTCATTGTTTGTGCATAACACCCAGTGCTCCATGCAGAACGTGCCCTCTTTAATACCCATCACCAGGCTAACCCATCCCCCCACCCCCCTCTCCTCTAGAACCCTCAGTTTGTTTTTCAGAGTCCATAGTCTCTCATGGTTTGTCTCCCCCTCTGATTCCCCCCCTTCATTCTTCCCTTCCTGCTATCTTCTTTTTTTTTTCTCTTAACATATATTGCGTTATTTGTTTCAGAGGTACAGATCTGTGATTCAACAGTCTTGCACAATTCACAGCACTCACCATAGCACATACCCTCCCCAGTGTCTATCACCCAGCCACCCCATCCCTCCTACCCCCACAATCCAGCGACCCTCAGTTTGTTTCCTGAGATTAAGAATTCCTCATATCACTGAGGTCATATGATACATGTCTTTCTCTGATTGACCTATTTCGTTCAGCATAACACCCACCAGTTCCATCCACGTTGTTGCAAATGGCAAGATCTCATTCCTTTTGATGGCTGCATAATATTCCATTGTACATATATACCACATTTTCTTTATCCATTCATCTGTCGATGGACATCTTGGCTCTTTCCACAGTTTGGCTATTGTGGAAATTGCTGCTATAAACATCGGGGTGCACATACTCCTTTGGATCCCTACATTTGTATCTTTGGGGTAAATATCCAGTAGTGCAATTGCTGGGTCGTAGGGTAGCTCTGTTTTCAACTTTTTGAGGCACCTCCATACTGTTTTCCAGAGTGGTTGCACCAGCTTGCATTCCCACCGAAAATGTAGGAAGGTTCCCCTTTCTCCGAATCCCCACCAACATCTGTTGTTTCCTGACTTGTTGTTTTTAGCCATTCTGACTGGTGTGAGGTGGTATCTCATTGAGGTTTTGATTTGGATTTCCCTGATGCCGAGCAATGTCGAGCACTTTTTCATGTGTCTGTTGGCCATTTGGATGTCTTCTTTGGGAAAATGTCTGTTCATGTCTTCTGCCCATTTCTTAATTGGATTATTTGTTCTTTGGCTGTTGAGTTTGATAAGTTCTTTATAGATTTTAGATGCTAACCCTTTATCTGATATGTCATTTGCAAATATCTTCTCCCATTCTGTTGGTTGTTTTTTGGTTTTGTTGACCGTTTCTTTTGCTGTGCAAAAGCTTTTTATCTTGATGAAGTCCCAATAGTTCATTTTTGCCCTTGCTTCCCTTGCCTTTGGAAATGTGTCTAGGAAGAAGTTGCTGCAGCTGAGGTCGAAGAGGTTGCTGCCTGTGTTCTCCTTTAGGATTTTGATGGACTCCTGTCTCACATT